TAGAACAATGGATCACATTAATCTGTCTGTGGAAAGATGCGACGTAAGAGACAAAGACGACGAGATGGACTTCTGACAGAGACAATGGTGTCGGAGTGAGAGAGGAATGACGACGAGACTCGATCGAAGAATCCCCCCTTCGAAATCGTCGTTGTCGTGCGAGAAAGAGAGAGAGACCCGAGAAACAATTTTATTTTTCTCTTTTATGTTGAATCTAATTTATTTTCTCTTTTATGTTGAATCTAATTTATTTTCTCTTTTATGTTTAATGTTTTTTTTCCTCGTAAACTTTTTTTTTGGATTGCACACATTAAAAGGGTATTTTAGTCCATTTGCTTGTTACAAAATAGGGTCTAGTATTTAAAATTTTATATGAGTCATTCTAGTCATTTTAAGATCAATTTGGGTCATTCCAAGTAATTCCTCTAAAATCTATCAGAAAAGTCATTTGTTTTAAGATGAAAACACATGAGTAAGGCAATCAAGAAGAACGACAAACCAATGTCCTCAGCCCACTCTCAGGGGATCCTCGAGAAGTCAAAATCTCCTATAGACGTTTGATTAACCTTGAAGACGAAGAATGCTCTCGCCATTTTTCATTGCGATATGGAATCCCTCCACGATTTGACGACCAGGCCGAGGAGACATGAGGAAAATTTTTGAGGCTCTGTTGTTTCGCTTTATCAAACCTAGATGACGGAGTTCATCAAGACCAAAAAATAAGACTTACACTGAATTCTTCTGTAGAAAGTCAAATTTCTAACACAATTCGGTCAATTTCAAAACTAACTTTTATCTTGGAATACTTCTAGGTAAGTCTTCTCTGGCATTTTCGAGAATTTTTGAATTACAAAAGTAAGCCAATATTTATAAAAGAAGACTTCCTTAGAAGACTGATATAGAGGGGACTTCTCTGGAAGTCTTCCTTTGTATATTTTCAATTGAAAAAAAAAAACTAAATGGAAGACTTCCACGAAAGTCTTTCTGGGAATACTTTCGGAAAATGTATAATAAACTTTTGTTTTCTTCAACTTTAAAATAACTTTTAAGATTTATTGTTAATTCATGTGTTTTAGACAATATTTGGGGTCCTGAATGAACTTCATAACTTAAATGATGATAATTTAGAGGTTACCAACATTCATGTTTTTAATGTTTCTAGCTAATCTGAAGTCTTCTCTCTTAAGTCTTCTCTCAGAAGACTTTCGTGGTAGTCTTCCACGTTAGTTTTTGTAAAGTTGTATTTTTTAAGAGAGTTAAGTAACTTTAAGATAAGTTTTTTAACTATTAAAATTGTTAAATAATTTCAAGAAAATTATAATATGTACATGAAAATCGAAGTTGGAAGAGTTAACATACTCATTATATCCTTGTTGTTTATAATTACAAAATTTATTATTATTATTTCTTAAAAGACTTTGTTGGGTTTTACTTTTTCGAAGTTAAAAGTGATGAACAACTAATGTAAATTAAAGAGAAGAGGTTGTTTATAGTTACAAACTTATATTTTTCGCTGAGTATGGAAGATCCATAGATGAGAAGAACTACACAATGAACATCATGTTTTTAATATGAAGCCCATTGAAGTTTTATATTTTATAGATTTGTAAAAGTGGAAAACACATTGTCAGCACATATATTACATCTTGAGAAACATCATTACTGATTTTACAAACATAGAACCATACTCTTATTCTACTTGGTCTCACTCAAATTACCCTAAGGAGTGTGATATGTTGAGTTTTTGACATATTACACTCATGCTCTTCCACGTTACCTAATCAGGCTGAACAAAGCTAGGTTGAATATGATTAATAATAAAACACAGGTTGAACAAGGTAGTTATTCGGTTGGTTGACTTAGGTTTGCAACAATATGGGAAAGTAACTAGACTTATGTTGGTGTCAAAATCGGTCACGATGGAATCAATGGCTAAAAGTCTCCGCAAAAGTAAAAATAAAAATATGTTTTATAAAACTCGAGAGATCATTTTATAAAAATCGAGAGATCGTTTTATAAAACTCGATAAATCGTTTTATAAAACTCTAGAAATCATTTTATAAAACTCGAAGAATCGTTTTATAAAACTCGATAAATCGTTTTATAAAACTCAAGAAATCGTTTTATAAATCCAAAGAGATTTCCGAACAAAGGAAATCCACGGAAAACTCGAAAGATCGCTATCTCTAAAAAACAAAACAAACGTCGATTACACGATCATCCGAATTAAGCACAAAACCGCGAAAAACCGAAACCGCAGTAAAACGCGAACTAGTCTCATCCCGACTAGTTCGCCGTTGGGCGAACTAGTCTCATCCCGACTAGTTCGCCGTTGGGCGAACTAGTCTCATCCCGACTAGTTCGCCCAACGGCGAGCTAAGCCAGCCGGCTTAGTTCGCCGTTGGGCGAACTAGAAGCTTCCCAAGAGGAGCTGACTTTGCCCCAAGGGTTCTTATCGCCTAGCTCGCCATACGGCGCCTGGCCAAGCTGAACTAGCTCGCCGTACGTCGAGCCAACCATCCCGAGCCTCGATCTCCCACATCCTTGATTCAAGGCATACGTCCTTCGACACGATTGTATTCCGAATCACGGTCGAAATGTCTCCCGTTTCGTCTCGATCTGTCCTATCGTTCGAGTTTTACGATAAAAACCGTAAAACTTTGTTTTCTCGAAAAGAACTCGAGGAAATCGTATAAAACGGCAACTGTTAAACGAAACACCAAATATTGCCTAAACTATACGATTTATTCGAGATTTTTCGTAAAAATTGTACAAAACGCGTTTTCAATAAAACCCCGAGTAAATCGTAGAAAACGACAACGATTAATCGAAACATCAAACATTGCCTAGCTTTACGATT